CCGTGACCAATGGAGCTAATCCGTGTTGGGTAGAGACAGGTATCTACCTCAGTACAATGGAAGATGGTTGCGCAATTAATTAGGACTTCAAGAAGGATAGTTGAGTGAAGTAAGCAAAATACAAAGTTGTAAAACATAAAAATTTGTAGATATCATTATGTACATGACTAAGATGTGTTATAGATTAGAATCAACATACATGAATCATGAAAGATGATATGGCAAGACAGGGCTTACAGTTAAGGCTGTGTAAGAATATCATAAAATAAATATTTAGAAACAGTCATTAAAAGTATATCAGTGAATTCATCAAAGAGAAAAGCTATTGAATTTCTCAGAGAAACCTCTTAAAGTTTATGTACAATAGATAGGGTATGACTAGCAGTGGAATCCGAGATGTGCGTTTTGTCCTATTTAAGACCCATCAGCTGAATGTATCTGCATTCCGGAATTGGTGTTTTGATCTTCACTTCCCGATTCGAACTCAGTAAATATCTCTCCAAACGCTCAACGCATTATCCACTTGGCTACTGAGTCTAAACAGTCATTCACTTATGCTAGCGAGTCCTTTACCCAGGATTCCACTGCTAGCCACAACCCACCTCAAGATTTTTGACAAATCGATTATATTGAGTCATTTCTCACAAGGTGCACATTTGCCAACTAAGACTGATCAAAATTTAGTCGCCCCTAAATCCCCTGTTACGACTGAGGGTGGGGAGAGTCAGCTCTACCTCTCGAAATCCTCTCACATGGTCACGGGTATACAGCGATTGACAGGGAAGTTCTACTCATTGCCTTCTCTCACCATAAATGTTGTTTACGAGATTAACAGGACGAAAAGCGAATGCCTGATGCTTTAACCGGGTTGGTGAATATGAAGGATCCACCTAGGAAAGTTGGGAAACCCTGATTCCAAACCAATTGTTCACATGGGCTCCAGTATCCTGAATTAACAAATGGCGTATGATTACCGACTACCATGGGACTACATCTTCTTACGTTGATAAACTGCTTTGTGGATCGAACCTTTAGATCAAAGGCTCGTGGTGTGGCTCCTTAAGAAAACCACCTGCTTCGGTCTGGGCACCCGGATAGTATCACAGCCCATTCATAGATCAAGTGACTTTTGTGGTGCATATGTATTTGGTGCCTTTTTGTATCAATATGTATGTGTCCAATTAAATAATAATAATAGTAATAATAGTAAATTAAAACGAGATATTTCAAAAAGCCCTACAAATTAAATTTATCACCATAGCGTTGTAGAGGAGTCCCATACTAGGAGTTAATGACCGTCCAAGTTTTCAACGATAGTCTAACATTGATCAGTTCGTGATCTCAACAAAAATTAAATTTAGTTACTTATTACTATTATTTACATTGTTCAAATTAATTAACTAACTCACTAAACACTAATGTTTGTGTTCAATTATACATATTGCCTTAATTATTTATTTCACCAATCTTTCCCTTCATACATACAACATTATAACGTACACAATAAAGGCTTAATAAACAAATCAGTTCTCTACCCATATGTCTATCTATACTTTCATATTTTTTATTTGTTTAACATAAAAAATTGTCACGTTCGATTGTAATTACAGTAGGCTTATTTTTTAAATGGGTATATTTTATTTAAGTTTTCTTGTATTTGCTACTATGGAACATAAATAATATTTGAAGAGTTAATCAATTCATTCAACAACAACAACAACAAAATTATTATTACCCACTCAAGAAATAATGAATTAGTCAATTACCGAATACATTTTATGTCTTAAAGATATTGGTTAATTTCAATGCTTGAGATCATGAGTCAATTGAAACTAGACTACCACGGAAAATCTGAAAGCACTGGATAGCCGTTTCATCCTACTGTGAGACTCCTCCTTGGCAGTGCGCATCCACAGTCTCGCCTTGCGAGATTCGAATACAGGACCTATCAGTTTCGCACGCGACCGTTTAACCACTAGACCACTGAACCAGTCGGCATCCAACGGTGTTAATGTCTAACTTCAACCAATCCACGAAATTGAGCCACACATCCACCAATATCTTCAGTGAGTTACTATCTCACAACAGATCTGGTTGAACTCCACTGATCACTACTTCTCACTAGAACTTCAGGAAATAACTCTTGGAGACAGTCACCAGTGAGCATGTGATCATTAATATGAGAAGGGTGGTTTTGTGGATATTATAGTAGTTTTGGGGGGTTGAAATCATGGTTAACGGTTTAATTATTCGTATCTAAAACGATTCTTTGTATTTTCCAATCAAATGTTTAGATTTCCTTTGATATTCCTATTGTTTCCTTAACTATCTCTGTTGTTATATTGATATGATGTGCAGATAACTTATTTTATTTCTATTTAGTTTAAACACATAAACATTAATACAAGGAGGCACCAAATAGATAAATCATTCGATTTGTGTGAGGGCTTGGATACTGCCCGGGTGCCCAAACCGAAGCAGGTGGTTTTCTTTGGAGGCTACACCATGAACCTTTGACCTAGAGGTCTAATCCGCAAGGTGATGGAGCAACGTTAGGAGATACAGTTCCATGGTAGCCGGTGACCAATAATTCGTTCATATGCTATTTGTTCCTTCAGGATACTGGAGCGCATATAGACTATTGGTTTAGAATGAGTTTCTCCAACTCCCATAGGTGGATGCTCCATATCCACCGACCGGGTTAAAGGGCCGGACATCGGCTTTCTGTTCTGTCAATTTCGTAAAAAACAGTAGTGCCACGAGAAGGCAGTAAATAGGATTTCCCTGTCAGTGGTTGTATACGCGTGGATATGTGAGAGGATTTCGAGAGGTAGAGCTGACTCTCCCCACTCTCTGCCGTCCCAGGGCATTTGGGAACAGATAACTTGGACCTATGGAAATTTGTTCAATGTCTTATGTTGACTATAACTGTATAAGAGGACACTAAAGAATAAACTAACTGCCATAGATTTTTAAATTTTCAAATTTATATAGTTTCTCAGTGGAAATAAACAAATTTTCTTGTCTAGTTATTTTGGGTCCATGAGATTGAACTGTAATACAGGACAGCAGTTGTATTGATCTATTCTGAGTACTGATTAGCTCGTCTAGTTTGTCTATCTAAGACCAGTGGCACGATAAGTGTGAAATAACAGCCGAGAATAACATTAAACGACCATTAGTCCAGAATTCAGTTTCCCACTCTCACTCGCCCTGTAGCCAGAATAGAGAATAATTCAACAACCAAACAACCTCTAAGTATACAGTTCAAATTTATGAATTACTCATACCATAAAATGGGGTAAAATTCCAACCACAGATTAACATAATTAAGAAATTACAATGTGGGTAAAGCCACGCCGTAAGAAGAAGAGGACTAAGTGATGGGTGCTTAGTAAATTAACAGTAACAAAATCTTACAAATAGGGGAATACAAAAAATGCAGAAGTTTAAGTATTTAATAATTGTACAATAAAAATATAAACAATAACCTCAGACAGAATTGTCCCAAAACTTCATATTTGCTTGATATTTATCTTGACATATCACCATAGTTAATTATTTCCCGTCGTGGATTTGAATAAAATCCCTTCCTCCTCAGAGGATAAGGTCAGTTGAGGCAATCTCTTATCTTATGCTCTCTTCAGTCATTATCCTATTCGGAAATTGATTTATTATCTTTCCCTATCCAAATGATAATCTAGTATTCGTCCGATTTTGATGAAAAACTCTCCATCGGTGTATATTTCTGATGTAGATATTGACTAAATTTTGTTTCACTTATCATAGATGTTTACTCGACGTTTCATACCTGTAGGAGTGGTCAAAGAAAACCAACAATTGAATTGACAGTAAAAATGGTATTTCTAATTGTCTTACTAACAATACCTTATTTTTTTAGATATGCTTTTCGTTAATTGCCTTGCGTTTTGAACTGTTGTATCCGTTTCTGTTTTGTTGTAACCACTTCTCACCAGTAATCATGTGTTTCTGTTCACTCGAAGAGTTAGATTTTTATTTTATTGAAATTACAAACTAATCTAGGTTGTGCAACTATTGAAAACCTGAGATCGCTAGACGGTTGCTTCGTCATAGCATGAGACTCCTCAGCACTGCACCTCCAACCCCTGGGATTCGAATCTAGGGCCTCCGATTTCGCACTGTTGAGGAGTCACACACTAAGAAGAGACGACTATTTAATTTTTCCAAGTTTTCAAATAAGCTTTGAAAATTGATCGATTAGTGTATTTGGCTGTAGCTAATTTTGTATGGTTTCTCACTGATTGATCGTTCAGTAATAAAATATCATTTTTATCTAGTCTAGGATGATGATCGAATTCTACCTCGATCAGTAGTTGGAACATTTCGGTGCTTTGGCTCAGAATCGATTACTGGGGCACTGATGGATTCACTCCCTGATCTTGAATTCCAGTATTCCTTCATACAGTCTTTTCCACTCTGTCTTTCTGAACTATGTTCTCAGTGTTCTATCTTCCTCATTATCATTGACACTACATTATCTCAATCTTTTTATCTTCGTGTGTTGTTATGTCCTCATCGTGGTAATCATGTAAGGCAGCTCGGACCAATGTACATGTATACCAGACTCTACGTTTATAATAACTGATTGAACAAATTAAAGTAATGACTCTTTAATTTAAGCGTGTTACTGTAAATTTTGTGTACTATGTTTTCATTGAAGTTTATGTTTGTAAGCACTCGACAGATAACCTTGTTTCACCTAGATTTTGGGCTACTTGGTACTTATCAAGAAGGTGTAGTTGCACTTTTGAAGGTGATGATACGCCATGTGAGATTTGAACTTGCACTAATTAGTATTCCAGCCAGTAACCGCTGCTGACTAACCCTAGTCCGAATTTTACAGATATAATTCTTTTCTTTCAGGATCGTAGATATGTCCTGTTTACGAGTATCATGTCTTCAACTCAAAGCATATTTTTATTGTGAATACATCTTTGTTACTTGTTCTGTATATATAGGACGATTCAACATTATCTTCACCTGTTGAAGGCCTTAAAGTGATTCACGAGGATCTCCCATCTATCAATGAAACAAATGTTAATAATAATATCAATGATGATAAACGAAATGATGATGAATCCCATAGTCCTTCATCATCATCATCTACGCCAGCTGGGTCTCCGCCAGTTACTGATGTCACTACCCCTCCTCCCGCAGCAGCTTTGTTACTTCGTAAACGTTTAGGTGTCTCTGGTGAATCAATGAAATGTGCACAGGAATTAGTTTACCATGATAAAGATGCCAAGTAAGTTCATAAAAGCAATCTTGGATTGTATTAATTTTTTTTTGCTTGTTATAAATAATATTGCCTATTCTAAAACAAAGTATGAAGTGTGGTTTCCGTCACTACGAATTATAGTGAGGATAACTTTGATTCTTTACTGGTAACCTGTATGTAGTAAGTAATTTCCTACAGACGTAATTCTAAACTAATCCCCAAACTGTCGAACACAGAGTCTTAATTTAGCCAAAGTCAGAACAAGTAAGCAATTTGATGTGGTCTAAGTCGACACAGTGAGAAGGCGATGGAGAGGGATCAGTTCCAGCTGTAGTTGAAATTTAGATTTAGGGATTACAGTTTTTTTAAAAAATCATTCGTGGAGTGCGGAATTATGAGTGAAATTACGTCGCTGTAAATGGTATTGTTCTATGTTGATCGATATCTCCAATTTCATCTAAAGCCATTCAAATAACTCAGTTGCATTTATCACTAGAGATGGACCATGCAAACATGCTAATATCATGAATTGTATGTTTAGAGTGAGAAATTAAACGTAGATAAATGAAATTGTCAAACATTCATAGTTTTCTACACTGTGGAGATGATTTTCCCCTTTACATTATTAACGTCAAGTGGGGAACGATTGACAATTATGGAAAGAAATTTTACAGTTGTTCCGCTGTAATTTCAGTTTGGCTAGTAGTTTGTGCATTAATAATATCATCAAGGATGAAACAGAATTTTCAGGTATCATGGCAAATAATTAACTGTCCGGTTGCAAAGTTGGAATCCAATCATGTAAATATCTAATTTCAGTCAACTTGTGCTAACAACGCGACCATCATTATTTATATTTGTCTGACGTGTCAGGCATTGTTGAACTCTACTAATCAAAGCTTCTAACTAGACTTCTAGCTTTTCATTAGTTGTATTAGTAAAGTCAGTCTTTGATGTATATGAAATAAATCTAACATTCAACGGTATCAGGTATGATAAAGATATCCTCCAAAAGCAATGCAAGATAGTCGCGCAATATCGTGGACTAATTAAAATTAGACTTGTATGCCATTGGATTTCGGCTCACTAGTCTCGAGGCTAAGTGTTTGCTTGTGAAACCGAAGGTTCAGGATTCGATTTTCTGTGACATAGTGGTGAATTGGTATTGTTGACGAAACAGTAATCTAGTGATTCCATGTTTTCTCAGTAGTTGTCCAACTCAGATCAGTTCATGATTTCAATGAAAATCAACAATGTCCACTACCACCCCATATTTACAATAATTATTATTTTATCCCTTAATGTTTCATGTTGCTAACATATGACGAGTAAGAGAAGTTCATTGTCATCATTGTTCTTAGCTGTGAACTCTGGCTACTTATATCTCATCATTGAATTGTGTTATATTTGACACCACTTATCAAATATCGTAATAGAAGTCTATCTATAATAGTAGTAACAATAATAACGTTTGAAAATTTTAATTATTCACCTATATACAACTTAATTACGTAGTACATTAATATCTCGGTTTGTCGGTACTACGTAAATGTTCATATTTCATTTACCCATATGCCTTATCGTGATGTACTGATTATCTTTCGCATTTGTTCAATACTTATGTATGTATATATACGTATTAGGTTTATACAAATATCAATTAATATAGGAATATTCACATACAAATATAGACCATTGATATTAAATGACTGTAGTTAATGTCCTACTACCACCATTATTACTACTAATAGTAGTATTAGTAGTAAGTTAATGTGGGCAAGTATCATCATCATTATCAATATGTGGATATAAACATATGTTTGTCTGTTCATCTACTTATCGTCCATTTACCTGTCTGTATATATGTAATTCAACTGGGATAATTTTAATGGGAAAGCTGTATTCACCATGATGGCAATATGGGTATATTTATTAGACGAGTATACTTTATACAAAGGGTAGTCAAATGTAATACATATGCATATATAAATATGTTATCTGAATTCATGTTTTTTTTCTTAACATGTCAAGTACTTCATTAGTTAATAGATAGAATAGTAAATGTTTAATTGATCTTATCCGTTCCGTTCTGTCTCATTTTTATTTAGGGATCTTTTTTCGTATTATTCAGAATGTAAAATTTCATTGATACACTTTCATGCATATAGGATAACATTGTATATTCTCCTATTTTTTAAAACAATACTCATTGATTTTTCCCGTTCAATCTATTTGGGATTGGACCACATTGTGTATATATTTATGTGTGTTTGAGGGCTAGTTATACTATTTGACCACTTGAACTGAAGTAACTGAGGTCGGGGTTCGTCCTTATGACGTAATTAGTTCGAAGCTAGATGCTAAATCATCGTTCTACTACCATGAAGATAAAATCTATGATGTATCCGATTGAGAAATTGTTGACTGGATTAGTCTTAGTTAATCCACGATCCACAATCAGAGGTTGAATCAACACATTTGCTGTCTCACATGCGATTGCTCAAACTCTAAAGCGCTAAGCCTAGGATCCGATAGTGTACAAGTCTAGCTACTGAAGAGTCTCATACTAGGATGAAACGAATTTTCAGTGCTTCCAACTTTCTAATGGTTGTCCAACTTCGATCGGTTCGTGATTTAAATTTCTTTTTAACAAACTCCACAATCTCATACTGACAATGGAACCTAGTATTTAACAATTGAAAGAGTTGATATCGGATACCGAAACACCGTAAACCATACACAGTCACGTATCGAATATATATATATATATATATATATATATATATATATATATATCCTTTAATTTTGTCTAAAACTTTTGTTGAGGAGTGTGTATCATTCAATTTTCTAAACACTTTGTGAAGGATCGGAAATAGGTTGTATAATTTAATGGTTCCTTTACAATTGATTGATTACTGGGTAGTAACCAATATCATGTGTATCAGGTCTTTCTTAGTGCAGATCGAATTCTCTCAATTAAGTTGCAATGTATCAACTAATCTAAGTGATTCGGCATTGTGTACATTAGGTAAATATATCTCACTCTTATAGGAGTGATATATATACTGATTCATTTTTATCTAATTCCACCTATATCGATTTAAACAGTTGACAAGTATCATTAACCTTCACATCCACACACATTCTCCCACTGTGTACTTCATAGTTTTGAGTACATTAATCTTATACTTGATAAATCCACTAGTATTAACTCAATGAATTTCACTCATGCGTACACATGCATTCTGACTACAAAAATTTAGTCAATGTGATACAGGATTTTATATCTTTAAAAAGACAAAAAAAATAATCATCAAAACGTACTGAATGAAATATTTCCACTTCCTTTGTTTATTATACGCCTAAAAGAGAGAAGAAAAAGCTTATTTGGCGAGACTATAATTTATAGATGAACCAATCAGATATCAATATAAAAGGTCTTGGATTTTGGCGCGAACTTCATTCATTCATTTGGTTAAAGAGTGTTTTTGGCATTTTAACTTATGTCAATTCGTGATGAACTTCTTAAATCTAATTCCTAACCGTTAACCATCAACAGTAAATCTTAATTCTAGTCCCTCACTATGGTTTATAATCCTCATTTGGTCCTAGTTAGTATGTGGACATTCTCAAGGTCACTTCAGCGTCGCTCAAAGGTCGTTCATAAATTATAGTCTCACCGTTATTCAATTACATCGTGTTTGTAGAAACTTGTTAACATCACATAGATGTATTATTCATTAGCTGGAAATCAGTGTTAAAAAGAACATGAAACACAATATAGTTAGTCTGTTTCCAAGTCTAAAGTTTTTAATATTAATCAGTATTGATGTTTTCTCTAGAGCTGAATCATGGGGCATTCAGGTTTTGCACTCAGTGATCACTAATTAACGTCTTGAATTTAGTCTGTTTTATAAGGAAGTAAGCGATATACTGCTGAAGAGTTTCTGATGACTAAAATATGTAAACACAATTCAATCATTCATTAAAATGATCGTACTGATAATAGTCTAGCTTTATACATGAAACGATATGCGAATGCTTTATTTGTCAAGTTTTACAATCACAAAACCAAATAGCTGACAATTCAGTCAGTCGCGTGCAACTTGGAACCTGGCATATGTTTTCATCAGTTTAAGTTGCCACACAATGCATTAGCACAGAGAAATGCTAGAACAGTATAACTCGTAACAGTATTAATGATCGTCAAAAATATTAGACATAGACAACATGAATCGTGAAAAGAATGTGCATTCACAGACTAAAGATATTTTTTGATCATTTTGAAATCGAAGATTTAAGGTAATCGTCCTGGATCAGTACACAACAGTTTTGTTTCATGTCACTCGAAGTCTCTAACTATTGGTTATGATAATAGGATGGATTTCAATAAGATCATCTATACTTAACTACATGGCTCAGTAAATATCTTCATGGATTGATACTGTCTTGGTTTGGTCACCTATAACTTCGATCCAACCTACGTGTGTAATAAATCTTCCAACCACCGCTTACCTCAACACACAATGTGTACTTATTTAATGAAGATTTACTAATTCATCGATCGATTTGTCGTAGTTGAAGCGATCAGTGTGTTGATCTACTTCAGTCCCTATGGTTAATGCAGACCAATTCTAGAGCAAGATATTTAGAGGAAGAGAAATATCCTAACTGCTCTTGTGTTGTTGTTACTCATGAAGATTAAAAGACTTTTTTTACCGAATTCTTCACCAGACAGAGCTATATCATCTGCATATCTTCTTTTAGAAGATCAACTCCTAAAATGTCACGTTGAGAACGTTATCTCTAAAGGAGATGAATAATATAGAAAATATACCAGGGATTAGAGTAAATTCAAACATAGATTGTGGTAGAGTAATATTTATACATTGACATTTTGTGTCTGTATCTCAATTTAATCATTGTTCCACAATCATCAAGTCAATCTGTTTTGATGATCTTGTTTATTTTTTAAAATCTTCGTTTCTCTTTTACATTCCAGTCGACCGTATTGTTCATTTGACCATTTCTCCCATGGGTTGATAAGTTAGATCTTTATATCAATGTATAAATTTTGTTTCCAGATTTCATACTTGTAAAAATTCTCTGATATTCAAAGAGTTACTTCGTTTCTAAGTTTATTTGTAGTAGGGCCAGTCTTATCTCATTGACACTAACAGGCGCAACCGGTTAGTGCGTTCGGCTGTTAACTGAAAGGTTGGTGGTTCGTGACAACCCGGGGGCGGTTCTCACTCACAACACTGGCAACCCCTACCTACATATACAGTAGTCATTTTCCTCATTTAAGTGCTCTATTTCGCTTATCTTATGTGCTTAGAATTTACATTAATTGTATCCGTATCTATGGCCTCTCTCAATTATTATTTGTGTAGATACGTGAATTGTTTGTTGTTTCAATATTCAATTTGAATGGGTGTATGCTTTTGTGTGTATATGTTTATGGGTTTAAATGTTTTTCGTCACCAAATGTATGAAGTACATTCAGTAGTCGTTTTCTTTTGTCAACGTAATAAATGAGATAGCACTTAGTGTTTTGTCGTAGTGAAATGGTCTTCTTTTTATTCATTCGAAACTGGATCTCTTTCTGTATGTCGTTGTAATAATCTTCATAGTTTTTAGATCACGAACTAATCTTATGTAAACTACCATGGAAAATCAAGAAATACTGGACAGTTGTTTGATCCTTGTATGGTACTCTTCACCAGTGTACATCCACAAGCTTGCCATAGAGAATCGAATTCAGGACTTATGGTTTTTCACGCGAACAGCTAATCTCTAGACCTTTGGGTAGGAATTTTATAGTGTACATGTATAGCTTTAATCAACTCGCGATATCGGACGACCATTGTCCATTGCTTGTGATGGATAACTGTCTCATACCCGTAACGGTTGAATTTGATTGATCGTGGTTCTAATAGTAATCACAAAGTTGGTCTTCACGTGCTCTCTAGTCTGGAAAAAAATGTCCTCAAAGTTCTGTGAAGAAGACATCACTGCGTGATCCCAAAAATATTGATTGTATGAGAGGATTATCAGTGTTGTGTAATATAATGTATTGACTGAAGTTGGAGTATTTAATAATTGTATTCTAATTTAATTGTATAAAGAGTTTAGAGAAATAAAATGCGTACTCAGACAATGTCAAATTAGATAGATTATGTTATATCTTAATAGTTCGGGTTTAGTACGGACCTTCAATATTTATGGGATCGGCAGCGACTGAGCTATTACTCTGATATGTTTGGTTCTGTTGTGTAGATCGATAACAGTAAGAAACGCACAACACTTCAACATTTGTCCGCTAACACAGAGACGACGAACTGTAGGAAAACTTGATATTTGAAGTTGAAGAAGCAGAACATAGCTGAATGGTACAACTCCATATATACACTAACGAAACATGACCTTGAAGCAAACAGAAATTTAGCTGAACTTATAGCAATAATAATCAATCAGGTAAAAATAATGGCTGTGTGGAGAATCGTTTTTAGTAAGGTTCCAGGATTGTTAAAAAATTTTAGTGATATTATGTTCACCTTAACATATTAATAGTAACCATGTCATTGATCCTGGTGCTATTTGAATGATGATAATGATGAAGTATTCGATATGTGTGTAACTATCGAGGATGAGTTGCTTGATAGAATTCAAATCAACCTTGTTTTGTTGATTGTCAAAAAATTCATAACATTCATTAGCCTTTCTGTTCTTAGCAATTAATTATAAATGATATCAGATATCCATCACTTTATCTACATGAGTAATTCAATTACATAATTTTATAATCAGAGAGGGGTTCTGTGGAGATTGTAGTAATTTGAATTCATGAGTTAATTGAAGCTAGACCAGCATGGAAAACCTGGAAGCACTGGACGGTCGTTTCGTCCTACTATGGGACTCCTCCTTGGCAGTGTGCATCTACGATCCCGCCTCTCAAGATTCGAACTCAGGACCTATCAGTCTCTCACGCGACCGCTTAACCATTAGACCACATGTGCTTCCAAATTTTCTATGGTGGTCTAGCTACAATTGACTCATGGTCTCAACTATTAAAATTACTATAATATCCACAAAACCACCCTTCTCATATTAATGATCATATGCTCACTGTTGACTGTCTCCAAGAGTTATTTCCTGGAGTTGTAGTGAGAAGCAGTGACTAGTGGAGTTCAACCAGATCTCTTGTGAGATAGTAACTCATTGAAAACAATGGTGTATGTGTGGCTCAATTTCGTGGATTGGTTGAAGTTAGACATTAACACCGTTGGATACCGGATGACTCAGTGGTCTAGTGGTAAAGCGGTCGCGTGCGAAACTGATAGGTCCTGTATTCGAATCTCGCAAGGCGAGACCGTGGATGTGCACTGCCAAGGAGGAGTCCCACAGTAGGATGAAACGGCTATCCAGTGCTTTCAGGTTTTCCATGGTAGTCGAACTTCAATTGACTCATGATCTAATCCAATAAATTTACTGTAATATCCACAAAATCACTTCTGATATACAGTTTAGTTTCTTAATAGTAATGCAATAAGAATATACTTGTAATATTGATCCATATGTAGTTCACAGAAGTTACCCATAATTTAATCTTCACTAGGATATAACACTTTTATATCTAACCGAATCTAAATAACTTTTAAAAAGAAACTAATTAAATTATTCTTAGATACATCTATTTTTTCTACTACTACAGAAAATAAGTTATAACCTAAATAGATCATTGATCACATGTCTCTAACTAGAACATTGATAATGTTTCAAGTGTTTCAATTTCTCACATGGGAACCATCAATTTCCTTAAAATTATTAAAGATTAGTTAATATGTGACAAGTAACAAATAGAATATGAAACTTAAGTCGGATATATTGTTACTATTCAATTACTTTCAATTGATTAACTTCTCATCCTAATTCTTATTAGTTTCATTCATCCAACTCAATAATAATAATAATGATGATGATGTCAAGTTGATCTTCAAGATAATTTAATTTGTATGGATTATTCAATATGCTGCTAATAAACTAAACCATGTAACATTTATCATTTGTTACATCTTATTCTATTTTATTTTATAGTTTTTTTTTCTTGCCTAACAACTAATGGAGTAAAACTTCTTATCCTTTTTTTTTGTTGTTTCAAGTGACTGTTCATTATTCCTTATTAAGGATGAGAATATTTGAATAAGAAACAAACAAACAAACAACAGACTGAACTACATTGTATGGATGTGTGTGTGTGTGTGTTTGTTTGTTTGTCAATTGCATGTATTTAAAAGACTCAATAAATAATTGTCACTTATTTAGAGCAAAATTACAATGAAGATTGAAAATGAAATTCGTTTGTCGATTAAATACAATCTACAGGAAATACTATTGATTCTTTCAAGTATTTTCTTTTCTTTTTTAGTAATTGGCATTCATGCTAACAAAATGTACGTGTAATCTCAAGGAAACTATGATTGTCACCCTGTGAATATCAAATCTATATTACAGTTAAAAAGAGATCAAGTTATCTAGTCTTGTTGTTATTACATGTTAGTTTTATTGGTTGAAAGCATGAGTCAGTTGAAGCTAGATCACCATGGAAAACCTAGAAGCACTGGACGACCGTTTGGGACTCCTCAGCAGTGCGCAACCACAATCCCGCCCCCGCGAGATTCGAACCCAGGACTTATCAGTCTCGCGCCAGTCTAGATTCAATTGATTCATGATTTCAACCAATGAAATTTCTAAAAATCTCCACAAAACCCATTTTGATAATATTACATGTTAGTAACATGAAGGATAACCTTGATGACATTTTTCAAATTCATATTTCCGCTGTTATCTCACTGATTGTCATAGTTTAAAGTTCGTTAACTTTGTAATATACCTCAAGATCGTTGGCTGTTACTATAAAAATAGATTTATTTAATTGTTAATTAGACTTCTGTACAGAACATAAAAATATTATGAAAGTATCATCTCTGTTAGTGTTGTTCTGTGACAGATGTTCCGTCTATTCAAGTCCCTATTTTTTGTATCGTATTAGAATCTTTGGATGTTTGTAAATAGAACTAGCCATAGACTAACTGTAGACTCCAATCCCTTAATCATTCTTGTTAAAATCGATTTATCACACATTGTCATAATTAGTGATCTATTCAGGTCCAAAAATTCTTTCTTGTAACATTCTAGTATTCTAGTCGTTCACGGGAGTATATTATTTATTTGTTGATTACGATTCAGCAGACCAGATTGGTGAACCGAATGTTCAAATACAATGTGTACATATAATGTCTTCTATATACCTCTATGTTTAATTTGTTTCAAACAATTCATTTAAAATTAGTATCGGGATTTGTGGAGATTGTAGTGTTTTCAAGGTTGAATTAACGAGTCGATCTAAGCTAAACCACTACCGACAACCTCGAAGCACTGAGGTGGTTCACCGTTCGCGCGCGAGACCGAAGGCTCTGGGTTCGAGTCCCGCATGTGGGATCGTGAGTCCACACTGCTACAGAGTACCATACTAGGCTGGGATGGCCGTCCAATGCTTCCAGATTTTCAATGGTGGTCTAGCTTAGATTGACTTGTGAATGTTAACTTTGAAAATATTCATTTAAAATTTTGACGAATCTTTATCTAAATTAATTTATTTCTGATTTATATTTTTCTCTGTTTTCTCATTAATGTAGTTCTCGCCGACAAATACGTGAAGCTTTACGAAGTAATGATTTAATCAAGAATTTAGATGCAGTTCAATTACAAGAGGTTGTCTCTTGTATGCATGAACAAACAGTGCCAGCTAACTGTTATATTATACGTGAAGGCGATGATGGTGGACATTTGTATGTCGGTGAAGGTAGGTATATTTATTATTCTATTAAAATAGGTGTTGGTCTACGACTTGTTGATTTATGTTAAAGTTGTTTTCTATAGAGATACTTATCTTAAAAGGTATCACTTTTTTTCGATTCACCCGGTTCTTGATCATTTAACGCTGGCAAATAACAATTTACCCACCTATACTTTTTTCCCCATACTTTGAAAGGCTAACTGTGAATAGAATTACTTAATATGTTATCGTTTAGATTATGCATTCAGAGGGATTGATTAATCTTACTCAAGCTGTAACAACCGATTGTTGTGTATTTTTAGCTTGATATAAATTCAAGTGACGAAAGGATAAGTTTGATCAGTCCTCAGTAGTTGTAGTGAAAAGATGTTTAATACTGTTGAATTCCATTTTCATTTCTGATCCAATCCAATAAGGATATGATGAGTCAAGGATTAATTGTCAATTTTAGGCTTATGCAAATGGCTATGTTAGTTTAACTGCTATGTTGTAGTCGATTTCATAGTCTGGACTCAGTGGGCATCATCCTTGAATGTTCAATAAAATCTCCCAGCTTGATTAGGAAAACGAGCTACCTACTCTGATAATAGGATTATCCTTCCTCATTTACTAGACAGTAAACACATTATAAAGTTGTTGGAAGCCTTTTCAGTGTTTAGTCATGTCTGAAAGGATTTACTAAAAGGACCATAAATGCACTTCTATCAATTACACAGAGTCATTCACTCAGCTACAATGTAGGACCAGACACATATGTGCATCAGTCCAAGTTCCCATTCCTCATTAGCACAACAAGATCAACACTAAATTCATAGAAGTGGTGATAATATATGAGAGAAAAATTACATGTAAGGATATAATAAAGGAAGAAAGAATTAGAAAGAAAGGTATGAAGTAATTGTAATCTTATGATATAAGGGAAGATAAATAGTGTATACACAGACGCCATTGTGATCGATTCTCAGCCATGTCACCCAAAGTATCCAACTTGATGAGGTTGTGAATCTTCATCGACTGAGATGGTTGGGCCACGTGTTGCGTATGTCTGAACACCGATTACCACGACGCTCAATGCTCACTAGTGTTGCGAATGGTTGGAAGAAATTTAGGGGCGGCCAAACCAAAACGTGGTACCAATCCACAAAGCCACTAACTTCTAGTTTGATCTACGTTGTTAGATGCAGACTACTTGGTTGTGGTCCGTGTGACTATCGTATCCAATGGTTGGAGACTCTTGGTGACATGGCTCAGAATCAATCACAATGGCGTCTGAGTACACACTATTTGTCTTCCTTTAAACTATGAGATTAAAATCGCTTCACATCTTTCTTTCTACCAACTAATTCTTCCTTCCTGTACTATATCCTTATATGCAATCTTTCTTTTATATATTACCACCACTGAATTAACTACTTCTATGAATTTAGTGTTGATCTTTTTGTGCTAATGAGAAATAGGAACTTGGACCGATGCACATATGTGTCTGGTCCTACTTTGTAGCTGAATGACTGACTGGCTACTGACTTCAAGCACTGATGCCACGTTTTGGTTTGGCCGCCCCTAACTTTCTTCCAATAATCCCCAATACTAGTCAGCATTGCGCTTCGTGGTAATCGGAGGATATGGTTGAATTAAGATGTTGAAACTATATCTCCATCCCTAAAGTATATATTGTAAACGTTTGACCACAACCTTCTTTCATATACATCTCGATATAGCGTTTTTCCTATGAAACATTCGTAATTACAAATTTATTTTTCTTAATCCAAATAATGTCATTATTATTATTATTACAATTATATTGTCACAAATAATCATGATACAATAATTCTCGTATTTGTGTACTCTGCTCATATGATTTTACTCAATTGATTAAAAGTTATCATCACTACTGTTCGATATGACCTTTCAACTTTACTAATAATTGAGTCAGAGTTTGTAAATAATTGAGCAGTAATCCGACATGGACTCAACTGTTTATTTATTTAGTTCATAACTGTGACTAATATCTAAACAAAATTATGATATTGTTAACCGTAAACTTTGTTAATACAGTTATTACATTGGTTTCGATAGTCACACTGATTCCAACGAAGTAGTCTGCATCTACGAATATGGCTCAAACTAGAAGTTAGTTACTTCAATGACTGATGTCATGTTTCTAATTGAATGAATCTTTTAACAACACAAGTTTTATAAGTTTGTGTATTCAATGAAGTTATAGTTTAGAAAAATGTGCAGTTTTTCTGAATATATGATTCTCAACATCCTTTATGTTGACAGATATAGTGATTTATCAGGAAGTTATTCAAGACAACGCAGATGCAAACAAAGTTTACTTCTTTCTTTCTCTCTATCTCCCGAGGTCTTGGATATCAAAGGTGTAATGTATTATCTAACAGTTAGTCGTCGATCATTAGACCCTAAGGTTCGAACCTAGCTTCACCTACATGTATTTGGGTAATTTGGTGTGTGTGTGTGGGGGGGGTAGGTAATATCATCCCAGTTTTCTTCATATAAACATACGTACAAACAGTGTTGACCACAAATGAATCATATTCATTTATTTTATCGTTCGTGGTTAATTCTTATATTGCTCATTATTGTTTCGTTTATGTAGTTTCATTTTCAATATTAGAAGAGGGATTATTCAGATTATAGAATTTCGAGGAAGAACTAGACAACTGTTTCATTCTAGTATAGGACTTTTCAATAGTGTTCATCCACGACCCTTCCACAATGAATTGAACCAAACTCAAGATCTCATTTTGTTCTTTTTTTTCTCTCTCTATTTATGATTGTTATAGAGTTAGTGCAGAATTATTATTTTGTACAGGTACGCAAATATATTCATTCATTACTACGAACAACTCATTGTTGTTTTCATCAATTAGGTAGTCTAATCCATCTATGTTTACGTGTACAAATTACAAGCAACAAATAATTGACTACAAATCAAATGATTATTGTTATTATTATTATTTTCCATTTATGTACAAGACAATCATGATAATTGAATCGTCAATAATACTGAAGGGACTAGATAGCATCTGGACATTACATTTTACTTACCATCTATTGATTGATTCACTGTCTACAATAAATATTTCTTCATTCTGTTCATCTTTTTTTACTAAGTCTTCAGTCTTACTTACTAGTTAGCGTTCTTTTTCATAGCGAGGTGGATGGGGTTGCTGATTCCATGCCTAACCCTCCTCCTTTACTCAGACTTAGAATCGACAGTAATCTTAGAACAGCTACAGATAGAGTTAAATTTTCATTCTACTAAACTAAATTAGTCCTTTTGGAAACAAATAAGTAAATAAAAAGAAACACTAACTAATTTTGATTAAACAATTTACATCATTTGTAATAATGAATTATTCTCTAAATGATGTTATACAATTCAATTTTCATATAATATGATCAAAGTACCATTCCAGTTTAACTTGAAACTGTTGAATAATGCATATTGGTCATAGTACAACATTATTAAAGTAAGTTAAGATAAAATACAGACAGATAATAGATAAATATACTCACTCACTCACTCACTCACTCACTCACTCACTCACTCACTCACTCACTCACTCACTCACTCACTCACTCACTCACTCACTCACTCACTCACTCACTCACTCACTCACTCACTCACTCACTCACTCACTCACTCACTCACTCACTCACTCACTCAATCACTCACTCACTCACGCTCACTCACACACACACACATTGGTTTATCAGTTACATCATTCCTTTAAGTTTTCAGATTAATTTATTTTGTAGAGAAAAAAATTATTGAAAGGGTTCAATTAGAGAATGAGGATGAGAGAGAGAGAGGGGGAAACTCTGGTTTTCTAGTAGTTGTATCACTTGTATTCACAAGTCTATTTTAATAGACGTCACATTTTTCTCAATTCGTTTTTTCTTAATGTGAATTTTATTGAATTGATCTTTGGATCATGTGTTTGTATAGTGATCAGAATATTAAAGAGGTGTTGTTGTTGTTGTGGTTGTTTTAATTAAACTAATTGACATACAAGATTCAAAGTTGCCTTTCTAAAAACTTCAATTTATATTGTGTTTCGAATTCTTTTCATAGATTAGTATTCGACTTAAATATGCTAATTTTGATTTAGATGATACAGAGTATACTGATTTCAACGATTCCTATATGGTTTTTCTTAAAAAAGATGAAATACACTGAGAGTGATTTTCTCTGTTCTCAGTTCAGCTTTCGCATATGAGGTTAAAAACCCTGGGTTCGACTCTCTATAGAGGGTCGTGGATGCAAAGTGCTTGGAAATCCTATACTAGGATGAGACGACCTTCCAGTACTTCTAGGTTTTTACTCTTGATCATAGTTTCAACGAAAACATTACTCTTTTATATTTTTTTGTGTTTTACAGTCCATCGATTCATTATCCTAAAAATTGACTAGTGGGATGAATTTCACAAAAGAAATCGTTCAATCATACATCAATAGTTGAAAATATTGCGAACAGATAAATGAACTGATGTGTTAGAATTTCGTTGTTGACTTTTCTGAGCCAATTAGTAGAAAATATGATGGTTCTATTCATAAAAAGCTTACATTGGATGTCCCAGGATCTCAATTCTCACTGTTACTGTCCAGTCTAGTACAAACAAGGATTGATAAAATAGATTTCTCAATATAGTGAATTGTATTTGCACTAACGATACTATTGACGTAGATGCTAGCTTTTAAGCGAAACATTTCTGAGAAATATGTGTTCATTAAAGTTCATAAACTGCTAGGAAGACCACAATATAATGAGGCCTACTAAACTTTCGGCATCCAAAAAATATGTCTTTATCACATTATTCAGAGATGATTCACGACGACGCAAATCAACGAACACTAAGATTTTTGTGCATAGTCCAGCTCATCTTTAATGAAATGTTGTGGTCTATGCTTCATCAAAAACTCAAACAACATGTAAATAACTGTATCACTTTCCACTGTGTTTATCAGTCTTCCATATATGGATTGTTGACTATCGTGATTTGTATTCAAGAGTTGCTCAAAGCGTTCCCAAATGTCTACGACAAACGGCTAAATATTTGGCTGAGAGAGATCAGATTTGACATCAAATCAATCTTTGAGGTATTGTGCCCAGGGGTGAACTGTAAGGTTTATCGAAGTCTTAGCCATACGAAGATCCAAACCTTTTTATGTTTTCACAAAGAGTTTGCTCTAACCTTGAACCTACCTTGATTATATCGATTTATTAGTTATTATAGTGTTCTTCACATTGTTTTCTCTAATACAATACCTTTGTTTTCATTTATCTTCCAATTTGTCTAGTTTGACCTTTTATTTTCTATGCGTAAAATGTTTTAACAAATAGATATTTTCAGAAGGGGTTTTGTGGAGATTTTATTAATTTTAATAGTTGAAATCATGATTCAATTGAGCTAGACCACCATGGAAAACCTGAAAGCACTGAACGGTGGGGAGCGGGATTGTGGATGCGCACTGCCAAGGAGGAGTCCCATACCAGGACGAAATAGCTATCCAGTGCTTTCAAGTTTTCCGTGGTGGTCTAGCTTCAATTGACTCATGATCTCAACTATTGAAATAGATATTTAATCAAATTTTTATCCTAAATGTGTTGTATTATTATATATGTCACATAGTTCTGATAGACTTCGTCTTCCCATCGTATTGTCTACATTTATCGAAGGTATTCATTGTTTGAAACGTACAAAAATGTACCATAATTTTCCATGGTTATTGATACGTACGACTATTTCTATGACATTATCAATATCCCTGATATTACGTTACCATCTTCCATTACCTTAGTTAGATATCATCCTTAATCCCTACATTTTCTAATCTCACTGATCATTGCTTCTGACTAGAACTCTTGAAATTCCCTTTCGAAGCTAGTCACTAGTGAGAACAAGATTATCAGTGTTGACGTTGTGGAGATGACTGAATTTTATTAATATCACGAACTGGTATAAGTTAGACCAGGAAGCACCGGTTGCCCATATCGTCCTAGTAGCAAACTACTCAGGAGTGAGCATTCATAACCCCGCCCCAGTAGATCGGGCTCAGAATCTTCAATCTAAACTGGCGAGGCGGGACCCAATGATATCCAGGTCTAAGTCCAATCAATCTGCGATACTGTCATCTATTGTTTTCTTCGGGTAACTGTCTCCAATTCGATACGTTCGGAATTCAGTGATCATAGCTTATACTGTTAATTGTCATTGTTTTTTTTATTACAGCAATTTATAGTTTGTTTGTCTTATGTATGTAATCACACTGTTAATGGCTACTTCGATGATATTCTCGTAAAATTAGTCGAATTTTTGCACATCTTTACGACTCGGCTTGTTCAATATTCATTACTTTATGTTTCGATGAAAACATACTCTCTACACTTCTCTTATAGTTCAAAATAATCTAGTGAAATTATCTTATTCAGTATTAATATCAATGGGAAATGTGGAATATTCCAACAAAACTCCTCTTTCACACCCATTTAAGTTGAAATTACTAACAATAGATATGTATAAAATGTGTTTTATAATGGTATCTAACTTTGTTTATTTTCATTTGGTAATATTTTCAATCAATTTTATTTCTATGATATGGATTTTTGATTGCATAATGTCTATTTTGAATAGACAATTTCTATTGTAATCACTTGTGTTGTTTCTTTAAACAAACAAAATCATCATTGTAGTAATGTAGTGAACAAGAACACGAGTGGAGGCAATCGAATGTATTCGAACACGAAATTACAGAACATCTCAATAAAATCTGAGAGCCATATAGTAAATAGTTAATTTGCCAAATATCAATCCATCGTCTCAAACTTGACTGTTTGTTTTGCAAGTATCAGTCTATCATCTCAGATTTCATTTTTTATGCATTTTCATATATATCAATTGCATTCCATTTCCGTTCTTTCCTTATCGATCTTCTACTGAAATACATTCTATGCCTGACCATCGTTATATACTACTTATATAGATATAAGTAGCCCACACCATTGTACTACTTTCAAATGTTGATTTTTTTTTAAAAAAACAAAAAAAAATTTTTGCCGTCAATTATAAGCATTTTTATCATCATTATATTATGTTTAGAATAAATAATTAGTCAAGAAAGTTTTAATTGACATAATTTTCACAATTAGTTTATCCAAGTAATTGACTGAGAAGTGCGATCAAACCACCATATTAACTTCTTAATCAATTATATATAAATTTAACCTTATCATTCATTGATGGAGATTGCTGGTGGGTGGCCTATGCTCCTCGATGTGGGGTAACAGGCGTAAATAGGTATTCATTGATCAATTAATTTAGTCAGCTGAATTTCAGCATTGAATGATTCTATGCAATTCCTAATTTTTTTTTAAAAAAAAAGAAAACTATCTGTTTCCTGTTGTTCTTTAAACCTTTCTTCGTTTACCCCACCTCCCCTCCCTCCTTCCCTCCTTCCTTCCCAAATTGTCCCCAATCTAATCTTATAGAAACATTTCATTTGTAAACAGTAAAATGATCAATACATTTGTTTGTATGTTTGTTTATTTATTTTTTTGTTTTGTCATTTAAACTTCTCCATTTTCTTTTATTGTTTTTCTCCAATTCTAGTTTCTTGGGTTTTTGTTTCCTCTCCATTTGGATTTCTATTGTTTTCTAATTCTTCAAAGTATATTCATTTATTATTCCTATTAGATTTGAAATGTTTCAACGACAAATAATATTGAGTTTCTTCTCTATTATTATTATTGTTATTTGTAGTAGGATTAATTGAGTACTTATTGATTTCTTTTAAGTGAATTTTACAATATTCCCAGTTAAATTAAGTAGTAATTCTCTATTTATACTTTTCTCTCTTCTTTCCTCTGCATGTTTCATTATTGTGTGTAAACTGTGTTGGAATTAGATATGTACAGTATTGGTTACTAGCTTAGATCAATATAGCGGTTTGTACACGGTTTGTACACGAGATCTATGGCTCTGGGTTCAATTCCCTGTGTGGATGTTCATATGCACTGCTAATAAGTTCTACACTAGGACGAAATTGCTATCCAGTGCTTCTTGGTTTTCAGTGATAGTCTGATTAAAATGAATTTGAGGTTTAAACTGTGAAAATACCTTGAAGTGCATCAAAAAATGTTTTCATCCAATTAGAAATTATGTGGCCTGTTTATGAAGTTATTCACTCTCATTTGCGTATTATCTAGATAAATTGTAGACTTATATTAATTTGGGCAAATATCCTAAAGTTGAATGGATTCATTTTATCTATTTAATTATCCAATAAATAAACGAGTTGTGGTGATGAAAACTATATTTTACAAATTCGAGTTATAACAGCATTCCTAACTCCAGTCTGTTTTAATGAATATAACAATCACTATGTTACCATAACAATTTCTTACTGTATAAGTCATTGTAAGAAAGCTATGGGTGGGCAAACAATGATATGACATCAGTCCATGAAGATCATGGTTATTGAACTGAACGATGTGGGTAGATGCAGGCTATTTGATTGGGGTCTGTGTAATTATTGCAATCGATTGTTAAAGACTTTCAGTGATATTGTTCGAAATCGTTCTTAATGGCACAGATGCATTTGCTCTCAGTCTTCTCAGATTTTACGTTTCTAAATTTTTCATAAATGACTTTTTATTCTACTAATTTATATTTTCTTAATTAGTATCGTTGATGCCTAATATTTTCTATTATCAGTTATGCTGTTGTTATCTGTACTACTCTTTGATTTGTTTTGGAGATTTCATTCCTCTGTACTATAGGATCGTGGCAACTTGAACTGATCTACATATATGCCAGGTTCTACATTACTTACCTGTTACGTCAGAAAATAAACTTTGCTTGTGGTTGTATAGGGCCCTGTGTGACCGGAATGACATGAAAGCGATTGTGTGATTTCTCCCCCCGCTCTCTTGTTCGTTTATCGATTAGTGCGCCCATATTGGTAGTTGGGTCGGTGACCTTCCAGGTACTCACTGACACATCGATCAATGAATAATAAGCAAGAATTTCGCTCTTATTGGTCCTCAGGCTCCCAGTGGCCAGCCAAAACGTACGATAAAAAGCGAATACTATAACGTAACTGAAATGCCTGAAAACACAACAAAACAAGAAATGACTATGTGTAAATAACTTGTTCATCATAAGTGATACAAAACCAGTGTATAAGGGTAATGACTATCAGTGACAAATCTGGAACACGAATATATATGACAATGATTTATAGATCAAATAAAAGATTACAAATAGGAGAACATAGAAATACGACTGTCAAAGTATTTATTAATTATACAGGAAAATTACAAATAATAATCCTTTGTATAATAACTTAAAAAGTTATACTTCCGTACTACTCGTCCCATGATATCTGTATCAGTGACTGAGATTACCAGACATCTTTCACGCTTATCGAACTTATTTTTTTATTTTTAAATTTCTACAGAGGGTGAATTTGAAGTTTCAAAAGGTGGTAAACGTCTGTATATTATGGGAGCTGGTCGTTGTTTTGGTGAATTAGCTTTATTATACAATTGTAAACGTACAGCATCTGTAAAGGGTAGGTTGAATTTCTATTGGATTCCGATTTGTTTAGTATTGGTCTTTTTCTTTACTTGTTAGTAAATTCGTTTTGCTAGTCAGATTGTACACTGTTTGTTGTGTTATGAAATAAATTATTTCTGGTGGTCACACAATACAGCACTTGACTTTTGAACTCCACTTCACCTATTTCCACTGTTTTAGCATTTGGATTAATATCTACAACAGCGAAATCCTACCCAGACCTCTCCGTGATGCCGTGAGAGATCTTGAAGGTTGTGCCTCATAAACCAACTTGGGTGGTCGATGGAGAGAACGGTCTGATCAAGCACTCGATTGTAGAATAAGATCATACCAAGTTTATTTATCTCACGTGGCTGACAAACTCAGGGTGGAGTATCCGTGCCTATGCATGCACTGAGACCCATAGGTCGATTTGGTGTTTTTTAGGTATTTATATTGTATATATTTGCCCAAACAGAAAAAGCGTTACGGGGACCTCATTTATGCTTACATGTATGTTGAAAGTACACGGGTCCCAGACTAATCTATTTCATGTATATAATGTTATTGTATAACTGGGATTTCATACTAAATGGCATCTATGCTTGTGAGAAGTGCGCACAACGACGTTATTTCACGGAGAGTGGCCTCCATCTGCCTTCGCAAGTAATTTAGCTAATACCATTAATGGGGGTGGAGACCATTTCACTCTCCTGAAGTGGGATATATGCCTGTGTTTATACTATGTAGTGCATAAGTCATTTTGTTTGATGTATTTCACACGTGGATGCAATACATACTTTTTACAAAGAGAGGCTTCTATCCGTCCTATTAAACATAGAATCAAAGTCCTAGAAGCTGTCTTTAAGAGTTTCCTGAACGGTTCCCCGCTTAAAACCTATTCTGTCCAAGAAGTGTGCCCGTGACACAATATATAAACCTTCGGTACGACTATCATTTTGACTCCTTTTTTATTGATCTGGTTAGTTTGTGTCATCGTTTATTGATATGTTCCGAAGAATTTAGGTCAATACGCGTCACTACCAGATCTTACATTGACCATCATTGACTGACTGATAAGTGACTAGTTCTATGAACAATTTCTGTTTCAGGTGTATGTTCAACTTTTTTTTTCATAAATTAGAGTTAATTAATGTAACCCCGATGTAAATGAATTAAACAATTGTTGAACATAACACATAATGTATCCAAAAAAATGCAAATACATTTCCTTAAATGACCTATTCCCCTATTTAACTGATGAGATAGCATGACATACATCATGAATTTGTTAAACTGAAAAGTGATATAATTAGTTAGTATTGTTATTTGAGTTGTACAACGAAACATCCATCTTATGTGGGAGGAGTAAATATCATTCTCATCATTATTATGATTATTTCACAAATTTGTTTCCAATTTTTCTCATTTTATTTATGATATCAACAACGGTTTACATGTTCTTCTCGAGGTTATAATTTGGTGATATGCCTTAGGAATTGGTAACAGTAGCATAGATGCATTCACTTTTTATCTTTCCTTAGGTCTTTAGTTTTGAAATTATCGTATAATTTTATTATTATTTTTTCTTCAATAAATTCATTTTATTTGATTGAGATCATGAACCGATTGATGTTAGACCATCACAATTGAAAACCTGGAAGCACTGAACGGTCGTTTCGTCCTATTGTGGGACTCCTCAGCAGTGCGCATCCACGACCCCGCGAGCGGGATTCGAACCCAGGGCCTTCGGTCTCGCGCGCGAACGCTTAACCAACTGGACCACTGAGCCGGCATTCAATGGTGATAGTTTCTAACATCAACCAATCCACAAAATTGCGCGACCAACTTCCGCTGTACTGAGGTGGATACTTATCTCTACCCGACAAGGATTAGCTCCACTGGTCAGTGGTCCAGTTGGTTAGGCGTTCGCGCGCGAGACCGAAGGCCCTGGGTTCGAATCCCGCTCGCGGGGTCGTGGATGCGTACTGCTGAGGAGTCCCACAATAGGACGAAACGACCGTTCAGTGCTTCCAGGTTTTCAATTGTGATGGTCTAACATCAATCGGTTCATGATCTCAATCAAAAACTTAATAATCTCCACAACCCCTATACTAGAAATTCATTTTATTTCTTCTAGAATCATATTATCTATCCCTGATCCTTTCTACTATCATTGGTACTGTTACTACTTTCACTAGTCTGATATTTGTTTTAATGATTTCATCTTTCTGGGTTGATAAGCTGTGGAGAATTGAACCGATGACACATGTATGTGTCAGTTTCTACGTTGCATATTACTGACTAACTAACTAACTCTTCCTTGAGTATGGATTATGTTGTTGTGAAATTCACTTCGTGTTGAGATCTCATTATCATAGTCAGTTATAAACATACACGCACTAAGTAGTAGTTAGACTTTGTCAGACGGATAGTAACAATGTTCATTAAGCGTTGTAATGTGTGTCATCCAATCTCATGAGTTAGATAGGTAGGTGGAGTAGGTCACTGCATAAAAAGGTATTTTCATTTTGTTTGGATACATAGCTATCTGTGTTGTTAAACAATTGTGTTATTCATTAAATATCGTATGTAAATGGCTCAAGTTTAATTTGGGTGATAAATTCGATTTTCTTTTACCATGAAGCGTCTTAACTCAGATTCTTGTTGGGGCTGTAGTTGCTCACCACTGTTAATTATTATCATACTAGAGCTAAACATCTTTCCAGTGTTCGTAGTAGTTGTTTAGCTAAATGTAATGCGTGATACGAACTCGGAGTTGGATAGTCCTCAAAAGTTTTGTACACTATTAATAATAATAATTTTCTTCTCGTTAGTGATTCATTACGAGCGGAATTCACGGAATTCTAGTGAAATCGCATGACCAGTGGATTTTAACCAATCAGTCATCTACAACGTAGAACCAGGCACACATATGCATCGGTCCAAGTTCCCATACCCTATTAGCACGAGATGATAGTTGTAAAGAGTAACAAAAATAACTGAAGTTAAACACTGTATTCTAACTCAATGATTTAAGCATAGGTAACGTGAATGCGATGAAACCATAAATTTCTAGGTTCTGACACCCTAACATCGAAGTCACCGGTGCACCCTGATGAGAGGTTGGATAATAATCGAATTGAACAGTCTCTATAAGCTTACCATATATGCTTACCCATTTGTTAGTCATGGTGTAAAAAGTGAATACGTATGTGAATAATTCATGTAGAACACGATTTAGGTTCAGATTTCTTTTCTGCTCTTTGTTTTCACTATCATTTCCAAACATAGACCACCTGTTCCAGATGTTTTCATGTACATGATGAATGTCATTTTTATTGATAAAAATGTGCAATTCTATCAAACAGTCAAAAGTGATTCCTTCATTCCTCTATGTATGTATCTAGGTGTGTGTGTGTGTGTGTGTGTGTGACTAGAGTATCATGCATTCATTCAAGTTATTATCCAAAACGAAATATATTCTGGACATTATGTTATGGATATACTCCAGTTGTTTTCAAGCTGGATCAGAGTGGTGGGTAATGTTGGTGGTCGTAATAACCGTAGTAACAGTAATGATAATAATCTAATTACCACAGTTAGGTGTTTTGTTTAATAGTTTCTTCCTGTTGTGTAGTGCACTCAGGTATGTTCATAAATGTATGTATGTTTGATGATAATAATTTATGTTCACTTATAGTAAAGCTAGACTAGTTAATCAACACTAATGATTCAATGTTTGTTTGAATGTATGTGTGTGTATGTGTTTGACTGCACATACAATGGTAGTGTACTTATGTATGTTTACATTTTACAACACCGACCGTACTTTTAAACTAGTAGGAAATAGGGGAACAATCTGATTGTGGACAATATGCGAATCATTAACAAATTACACAAAGTGGATTCAATACAAATATTGTATTGATATCGTAACCGAAAGGCATAAAATTGTGAAAATTGCACACATTTATTAGTGTTGAAAATCACCTAGATACCAAAATATGTGATATTGGATGAGAAATCCCTGAGATTTAAAATCTTTGAAAATGTCGACAATCGATATATTATTATTATTATTACAAAAAGAAATGAATGGTCTAACAGTTTCATCCGATCAAATCTTATTGAGATCTAATTTAGAAACGTATTTGTCCTCAACACTTTTTTTTATTATCATTACTGTAAGGGAACTTTTTGAAGATTGTAGAAATCACAAACTGATCTTGGGTAGACCACCAGTGGGAAATACTAGACGGCCTGTTATAAGTGTTCTCTATCATTTTTGTCTGCGAATATGCTTAATTCGCTCGGGGTTCGTACTAAAAACTCTAGATCGGACGATGAGTAGAGAGGATACAAAGACTACTGATGTGGATTTATTTGACCCCATAAATAAATCAAAATGGATGTATCCATATGCTAATTTATATGTGATTTTTGTACCGTAACATTAACTATCAAATTTTTGTAAATTGAACTGAGTAGTATTTAATATCAGTTCGTCCAAAAAAATTTACTGCATGGACACATTCGATACCTAATGATCGTTTTTCACATTAAATTGATTTTGTTCTTTCGGTCCTATCATATCAATGAAATTCCTCAACAGTTCTCATTCAAACCTCAATCACTGAGAATCAAACTCAGAACCTTTGTTCTTATATGCGAACACTTGACCTCTAGACCTCTGTGACGTCATTCAACGGTGTACATGTCTAACCTATTATTATCACTGTTATCATTATTATTTTCAGTATGGGGGTTGTGAAGATTGTTGAGTTTAACTGAAATCATGAACCGATCAGTGTAAGATCACCACTGAGAACCTGGAAGCACTGGAGGCAGTTTCGTTTTAGTATGGGACTCTTCGGCAGTAGAGTTCAACCGTGTTTAATGTGAGGTAGTAATCCATCGAAAATAATGAAAGATAGTCGCACAGTATCGCGGACTGGTTGAAGTTAAACATAAGCATTTTTGTATGCCAGTTCAGTGGATTAGAGAACAAGCGTT